CCAACTTCCTCCTTGAGGTCTTGTTAAGGGCCTTGAGATCGTAGGGGTCCTTGGAAGAAATTTCGGTGTTGGATAGCAAGTTGCCAATGTGGCCACCGAAGTGCTTTTGGTGCTTGACGACTTCATCCAGAGTGATCTTGTTCTTGACAAGGAGGGCAATCTTGATATCAAGTTGACTGATGTATTGTTCAGCAAGCTCGTTCTGTCGCACTTGTTGAACAACCACCTTTCGCAGGCGCTCGAACTCTATCTCTTCGTCAAAGTCGAAATCGCTGTCGTTGAGAAGATGCACGAAGCCCTTGACCGTTCCAACAGGTGGATTCTTTCCGCTTGTCAGGCTTTTATAAGCCTGCCCTTGAATGCGGGCTCGGATAACACTTTGGGCCTTGATGACCTTCTCCATGTTTTCATTGTAATGTTGACGTCTTTCTTCAAAGCGGTTGCAGATAATGTGACCTCTGATCCGTGCTTGGAAGTCCGTGACGAAGTCCTCCTCTGCCTCAAGATCGGTCAAGATCTCGCCAACTTCAACCCGCGCAAGCATTGCCCGAGTTAAAGATTGGAGTTGAACAACTTCTTGCTCGTTCTCCTCAAGGTGAGACAATATGTCACCAACCTCCATTCGTGAGACAGCAGCACGCGCAAGGGCTTGAAGTTCAACAATAGCATGTTCCTCCTGGCCCAGTTCATGCCGCTGTGCGAGTAGATACTGTCTGTGAATGACGCCACGGCATCGGGACTGTAGTTCCAAGATAGAAGGTTCTTCCTCGAGCAATGCGGTCCTCTGGGCATCCAATAATTCTCTCAGAGCTTGTCCCCTGAGAATAGCTTGCAGGTCGACCACTGGCAATAGATGTTCCGCAAGCTCGGTGCGAATGGCTGAGGTGTTTTTCCTTACGACAGCGGCCCGCACGATAGCTTGCAGTGCAGTACACTCATTTTCGGTTTCTTCTAGTGCCTGGAGCAGCAGAGTTTGTGCTTGTCTGGCAATCAGAGCCCTGAGAGTTGATTGAATGCAGACAATTTGGGACGTTTCGTTGTTGAGCAGAACCTTCATCTGAGACAAGTTGTTGCGGGTGATCGATCCTCGAATGACCGCCTGCAGCGACTTGACGGGTGCTTCTGTCAGTTTTACCTCATGGGAGTGAGCGTTCATCTGTCTTCGTTGCAATGTACCACGGATGGCAGCTTGAAGCGACTTGATGGAACTGCCGACTTGCTTCACCTCTTGGGACAGGGCATTCATCTGTTGTCGTTGCAACGTGCCACGAATGGCAGCTTGAAGCGACTCGATCGAGCCGCCAGCCTGCTTCGTCTCTTTGGACAGGGTATTCATCTGCCGTCGTTGCAACGTACCACGGATAGCAGCTTGGAGCGGCTTGATGGAATTGCCAACTTGCTTCGCCTCTTCGGACAAGGCATTCATTTCTCTTCGTTGCAAGGCACCACGGATAGTTGCTTGAACTGACTTGACGGAACTGCCAGCTTGTTTTAGCTCTTGGGAATGAGCATTCATCTCCTTTCGTTGTAAGGTACCGCGGATCAAAGCTTGAAGTGATTTCACATCATTTTCAGCATATCGAGACCGTTCGTATTGGTCCCCAAGGTTCATGCGTTGCAATGTACCTCTTATCGCGGCCTGTATCTGCTTGATGCCAAACTCTTCTTGTCGTGCGCGAGTTTGTAGGTGACTAGTCTGGGCGCGAGCCCTAGATCCCCGGATCAAGCTCTGGAAGTGCAGAACATCTGTTTCCTGGGCTTTTCGCCATTGCTCGTCGCCTTGCTGACTGCGACGTACAATGAAGCCTCGGCTAATAGCCTGCAGCCCCACTGCAAACTGGAGCATGCTGAGCCGGTATTCACTAATTTGGCGTGCCCAATCTCCACGCAGACGTGACTGTAGCTCAATGAGAAGGGGCTCAAAGTCCCACAGATCGTTCATCGTGTTGCCGAGCTGTAAACGTATCATAGCTCCTCTAACCTGAGCCTGGAAATCGCAGATCGAGGCTTCGTTTTCGTGTATCTCTCGATCAATACGATCCTCCTCTGATTCAACGGGTTCCGGTTCAGGCTCCGCGCCAAAGTTCTCAGCCATACCTGCAAAGCTGGGCATGCTCACGCCGGCCTTGTCCAGTCCTTTTTGGGTTTTCTCGAGTTCGTGGTGTTCAAACTCAAGCTGACCAACCAAGTTACCCATTCGGAAGTCCAGCATGCCATTTTTGAAGAGCAACCATGACAACGCGTGGATGCAGTGTATGACCTTGGGAATGTTTTTCTTTTCGTACAAGTCGATGAGTTCAAATCGAAACAATTCTGGCAATTGAACCTCATCGAGGAACCGGAAAAACAAGGCTATGTTGTCTGAATGGCGATATTGTAACTTGGGGTGTCGGAAAATGCGAAGTGCTTTGCCCGCATACATTGCTTGCACCACCTCCGCCAAAGTGACGCCGTCTCGCAGCCCTTCCTCCAGCTGGACGATTGGCGGGATTTGCTTTTGAATGACATCTTCGATCCACTGTTTGGCTTCTCCGATATGGCACAAATACTCGTATGCTTGGATGAATTGTCGCTGTTGGTCCATCCAATTCCCGGCCGCCCACGAGGACGCCTTCGGCTTTTCGGGAGATACTGCGCCATTTCTCCCTACTACCGAGTCCGCTCGCTTGAGGCGTCGTCGGCCTTGCAAGCCTACTACGGAGGCTGCAGCTGCGCTAAATTCGTTTTCACCGGACTTTGCAAACCTCGAGAGAGTTCTGAGATGGCCGGTGGATGATTTTTGCAGGGTTTCAAGCTCGGGTGCGGACAGTGCAGCAGTCAGCTGTGGGGGATGAGAGACTGTCTTTTGGGGAGACGAAGGATGCGAGGTTTCGGGCACAGTAGACCAGTGGCGAGGAGAGATATGCGCTGGAGGACTCTGAGATTCGTGACTGTGTGTTTGGTGACGCGGAGCCTGATTCTCTTTGAGATTAATATGACGCGATTCTGGCGTACTTGGTCGATAGTCCTTCCGCGGGAGTGATTCATCAATTGTGTGGCTTCGTGAATGTCGGTACCCGCCAGTATTTGCAGTTGAGGATGGAGTATTAGGGACTTGTTGTAGTGGTCGTAGAGATCGGCGAATATTGTCGTACGTCGTACCTGCATTGGACCAACTTCCTCGTTCCATTGCGTCCGTAACAGTCGTTGCTGAGCTCATACTGCCTGCCTCACTCTTCCCTCGAAAGTGACCCAATTTGTTTGATACCGACCCATTAGAGGAGACAGTGCTAGTCCGGCTAGGAATAAACGAGCTTGATGCGACAGAATATGCAGACGAGTTGGTGGACGCTGTCGACCCGTTTCGTAACGGACTGGTGGACTGCGAGGGAAGGTCCGTCTGGGCCCGCTTGAGGGATGGAAATTGATTCGACATCATTTAATCTCAGGACGGTATGCAAAAATGGTTTGAAAAATGTCGCGCTCCTTTGACCGCATCCCTGCTCTGGTGGTAAATGCGGAATGCGCGAGTTAAAGGTCTCCAAGACTTCTCCTGGAAAAGACGTTCTGGATTGGGTAGCGTTCAAGGGCAACCTCCCATGGCTTATCCGCGAAGAAAATCCAATCAATAGATGCGCGACTTGTGTCAATGGGCTCTAGACTCGTGAATCCCCGATGATGGAATTGTTGACGGTGGGGGTGCAAGTGCGACCAAGATTCCCCAAAGTGGGCGCAGGGGGCACAACAAATCTCCAGATCGGGTATGGCGCAATCAGGTGATTGTGGCTTGTCGATCTTGAATCACGTGAAATGCAGAACTAAGAGATTGTGACGAGTCCCACATGTGCCCAGGTGGACATGGATCTGTTGCTTACTTCTATTTTGCAATTATTCGAAATCGCAAAAGGTCCCTTACAGAAAATTAATCGATCTGCCGAACATTCCTTCAAATCCCAATATCTGACTTATCACGATGTCTGCAGTCTTGGCAAAAGTGGTAGTCCCGTGCGACGAACACAGCTTTCAACCTTGGAAGTCACCCAGTAAATTATATAGACCGTCAATTAATATACAACATACATAAGTATGTACTTCGTACTTGCTGTTTCTTCAAGCTTTGGTTGAGTTTGGGAGAGACTTGCCTCTTTCTGGGGCTTTTCTCGCTCCTCTCCAAGGATATGGCACAGGATATATCCCCGCAATTCATGATTGAATCTTTTTCTATCCACTCAGCATTGAAGATAATAACTACTCACTGAAAATTCCATATGTTATAAATTCATTTTAGTGTTGAACAAGTAGAGATAAGTAGACAAGTACAAATAATGGCGCAATAATCCCAGCGCGTTTGAAAGGCAAGTTGCCGGTTGAACCGACCCCGCCAACAAATGAAACCACCTGACTAACTTTGTTTTCTTCTCATTATCACCATTGACTCGGTGCATTAACTTGCTTCCCTCCATAAATTTCATCATGGCTTCGTTGATTTCTCAACCTCGCTACATCTACAAGATTGTGCCTTCCACCGCACCAGTTCGCGAGCCAATCCCTGAGCGGCTCACGGTTAGCGAACTGGACGAGGCCGATGGCTTCATCCACCTCTCAACGGCGCATCAGGTGGGAAACACATTGAAAGCATTTTTCACAGAGGAACCACTTGTCTATTTATTGCGGATCGAGTATCATCGCGTGGTCCAAGATATCCGCTGGGAGTCCCCAGACGGGAAAGTGTCTGCCCCTCGACCCGGTGAAGGACTTTTCCCAGTAAGCTGCATATGTCGGTCTGAAATTAACATTCGCTGAAATAAAGCCTAGCATCTCTACAATGGACTAAAACTGGGCAGAGGGGAGATCGAGAGCGTCGCCATCTGGCAGAATGATGAGGGATGGGACAAGGCTCTCACTGCAGGGAAGCCGTGGCTCCTGTACTGACTTCATATCACGTTGAATTCAAATTTGATACCAATGGCAAATACATGCTTAGCACAGTGCTCCAACATTTCCACCACTCCCTACACTATTTAGTCACCAAGCGGGTAACAATGCATCACTTGCCCATCTATACATGTATAGTTACCCTATATTAGCCACAACAACAAGAATAGTGAATATTTGAAGGTGTGGGATATTGATCACTCACAGTATAGAGAGGCGTCCGCACTGGCCAAGAAGACGAAGCTTGTTGCAACCTCACTAGGCTCACCTGGTCGTCCAATGCTAGCCCCGCCACCCCATCCTTCCATCTGTTGGGCATCTCGAGTGTCAACTTGAATTGGTGTATAAACTGCACCTGGCCTGTAATTTGGAATGCTTCAGTGTGTGATTTCAAAGAGGAATTAATGGATGACCCTCACGCGACTGCATTGACCCGAATACCCTTTGGAATCAAGGATTGTGCTAAAGACCTAGTAAAACCAATAACAGCTCCCTTGGTTGCGGCATAATCAATCATGGTTTTCGAGCCACGAAAAGTCACGATAGAAGAAGTATTGATGATCCTGCAGCAAGTGCGTGAGTATATGATGATATAGATCAGAGAAGAAAGCACCCACGAATCACCTCGTGCCATATGAGGAAGACTAAACTTCGTCATCGCAATCATCTGGATAATATTGGTTTTGAAGATGTCTTCAGTCTTATCCAGATCTGTGTTCTCGAATTCCGTACATAGGTACTGTTCCGACGCATTGTTGACAAGTATATTGACCGTGCCGTATCTGTAGACTCCCAGGGTCAGTCATTTGCTAATACCAGGAACAAAACCTTATGCTGGCTGACTTCTTCACATGTTCATCCACTGCGTGCTGGCACAATTTGCGATCTCTTAAATCGGCTGGGATGAGAAGGCAACTCCTCTTCTCTTGCTCAATAGACTTTCTGGTTGTCTCTGCGTCTAGCTGTTCTGAGGGCAAATAAACGATGGTAATATCCGCGCCCTCTCTAGCCATCAGAATAGCAACTGATCTTCCAATCCCAGAACTAAGGATTGATTAGCCTAAGTAAGTTTGTTCCCGAACTTGCTGCACATACTCCCCGCCAGTGATAAGAGCATTTTTGCCCTTCAACTTTCCGGAACCCATATATTCCGAGAAGCCATGAAGGCCTTCCAGTTTGGTCGACTCACTGGGATTTATCATTTTGCTCTCCAATCTAGCACATCATCTTAGTGGATATATTTCGCTCGGGTGAAACATTACTTACCCCGGCTTGTTCTGAGACTGTGGTCCCGGTGCAGGTTTGAAGGTGCCATGTTCACCCATAGGAGATGAAGCCATATCGATAGCAAAAGTCAGAAGTGAGAATTGATGTTTTATGACAATTTGAATCAAATTATGCTGCCTTTAATAGCTTGCATTTGCTACTATCATTCTGTCGTCATACTGTACGGGACTTGAAGCCGGTAGGTAACTAGTGGGATTACTGATCCGTTGCAAGGCCATGTCAATAAAACAAGGATCTTGGTCCGTTATATGGTATTATATACATACGTAAATATCAAGAATGGCACCCTGATAATTATAGCCAACTGACATTGGACCTTCACTTCCACCTTCAAAAGCTGTGTTATATGTTGTATGGCAATCGATATTCATGTTCCGCTCATTGGAAAATTAACCTTGACAAGAGGACTGTACATCATAATCATACCTAACGACGTTACATGGCACCACATAATAGTACCGATGTATGTACCTGCATCGATGTATAATGATAAGCATAAAAAGCTTACCGCCTTGAAGGATCTCGTTTACAAGCCAATCAGAAGCGCGAACAGTGAAAAAAGCCAGTACGCTATACCCAAAATAGCCAAGCCTTTTCTTGGCTTGGCCGTGCACGGGAGAGAAAAGGAAACAATTTTTCGCTCGAACTTTTTCTTCTTCTTCTCTTCCTTGGGAAAGCTCGACTTTCTCCATCAACAGAACGTTTCTTTCTGTTGATTAATATCTCACTCGGTCGTGTCTCAGTCTTCAATTTAAACCTACCTTCTTTTCATCATGCCTATCACCGCCGGCGACGCTGCACCTGGTGCTGCCATGAAGGCTGAGATCGCCGACTACACCAAGGCCGTTGAGGTCTTGGATACCTACACCACCCTCGATGGTCTTGATGCCGATACCCTGCTTGACTCTGACAAGCACGGCGCATTGACCTACAATGATTTCCTGATCCTGCCTGGTTATATCGGTAAGCTGGACCCCGCAGTCAAGATAGAAAATTCTTTTTTCTAACCCATATAGGTTTCCCCGCTTCCGATGTCTCATTGGATACCCCTGTTACCAAGCGTATCTCCCTGAAGGCTCCCCTTCTGTCCTCGCCCATGGACACTGTCACCGAGCACAACATGGCTATTCACATGGCTCTGCTCGGTGGTCTGGGTGTTATCCACCACAACTGCTCCCCCGAGGATCAGGCAGAGATGGTCCGTAAGGTTAAGAGATACGAGAATGGTTTCATTCTGGACCCCGTTGTCATCTCTCCCAAGGCCACCGTTGGTGAGGTCAAGGAGCTGAAGGCCAAGTGGGGCTTCGGTGGCTTCCCTGTCACTGGTAAGATACCCACATCTACTTCTCCCAGCACCTACCCATCCACTTTGCATGATGACCATCCTCTTTTAATTATAACTTTCGTTCCACTGCAGCAACGAAAGTTGCACTGTAGAGAACCAGATTTTATCTGAGCAATTTGTCTTTTTCCATATTATTCTCACATGATCTTTCGACAGCAGATGCTAATGTTTGAACATAGAGAACGGAACCCTCAAGTCCAAGCTCGTTGGAATGGTTACCTCGCGTGACATCCAGTTCCACACTGGTCTCGACGAGCCCGTGACTGCCGTTATGGCCACGGATCTTGTTACTGCCCCGGCCGGCACCACCCTAGCCGAAGCCAACGAAGTCCTTCGTCGGTCCAAGAAGGGAAAGCTTCCTATTATCGATCCTAACGGCAACATCGTCGCCCTGCTTTCCCGCTCTGATCTGATGAAGAACCTCCACTACCCCCTTGCCTCCAAGCTCCCCGACTCTAAGCAGCTGATCGCTGCCGCTGCTATTGGTACCCGCGAGGAGGACAAGAAGCGCCTCCAGCTTCTTGTGGAAGCTGGGTTGGACATTGTTATTCTGGACTCTAGCCAGGGTAACTCTATGTACCAGATCGAGATGATCAAGTACATTAAGAAGACTATCCCCGAGGTCGACGTTATCGGCGGTAACGTTGTCACCCGTGAACAGGCTGCTGCTTTGATTGCCGCCGGTGTCGATGGCCTGAGAATTGGCATGGGCAGCGGTAGTGCCTGTATCACCCAGGAGGTTATGGCTGTTGGTCGTCCCCAGGCTGCTTCCGTGCGTAGCGTTGCAACATTTGCCGCTCGCTTCGGTGTTCCCTGTATCGCCGATGGTGGTATCCAGAACGTCGGCCACATCGTGAAGGGTCTCGCTATGGGTGCTAGCACCATCATGATGGGTGGTCTTCTTGCTGGTACCACCGAGTCTCCCGGTGAGTACTTCGTCAGCAACGAGGGCCAGCTCGTCAAGGCCTACCGTGGCATGGGCAGTATTGCCGCCATGGAGGATAAGAAGGCCGGTGGTGATGGAAAGGACAGCAAGGCCAGCAACGCTGGTACTGCTCGCTATTTCTCCGAGAAGGACCGCGTCCTTGTTGCCCAGGGTGTCGCTGGCTCCGTCCTTGACCGCGGATCCGTCACCAAGTTTATTCCTTACCTCATCGCCGGTGTCCAGCACTCCCTGCAGGATATTGGTGTCAAGAGCCTGACCGATATGCACGACGGTGTCAACAAGGGCACTGTGCGTTTCGAGATGCGAAGTGCTAGCGCTATGACCGAGGGTAACGTCCACGGTCTCCACAGCTACGACAAGAAGCTTTACTCGTAAGATCCAAGCTTCTAAGAGTTGACTGGACTTCGTGAATATATATTATCGGGGTCACCCAGATGGATGATGGGTCCTTGAAAATTAAAAATAAGGGTACAGGATAGGAGTTTACGATTTGAAGATTTTACGCCATTTCTGGTAATGAGCCAACACGTTTTATTTTTCTCTCAATCTATTCCAACTGTAAATATCAAGTAGAGGTTTTGTAGAAGTGCTGGAGGTTGCCCGAGCACATGGCGTTGCATTCGGTTAAGCTCCATGAGGTCAAGCTTCATGCGGGGTACCGAGGAACTCCCGACTCTTTGCTTTTTTTTACTATATTGAGAAGCCGTTCCTAGGCTTTAAGATTTAAGATGTCCTTTATCTGTCAAGGATCTCTTTCTTGTCACTTACCACAGCGATTGGTTCTTCAATTTGCTGTTGGCCTTGCTTTTCAAACATCTCGCGCATCCCATATTGCCTTGATCCAGCCCTTACGCCCGAGCTGTAAACCTGCTTTGAGACAATACACAACTACACTTTCTTCAAATCCTCGGAAGATGTCCAGCCCGAAACGTGATAGTGAGCCCGCAGTGTCCCGGCCTAGTTCTAGGTAAGCGCAAGGGACCACATGACACATTGACTAGGGAGATATTCACGGCGCGATGTCAGGCATTCCCCCAAAAAAGAATTGGGTACTAACTATTATATAGCGTTCTTCTTATATCTTCAAAGAACGAGGTCCTTCTTCTTCATCGCGTGAAGACCTCTACCTCTTTTGCATCTGCACATGTCTTTCCCGGTGGCAACCTATCCAACCAAGATGGGGAATGCCCACCACCCGGAGACCTAGCACGGCATGAAGATTCCCCTAGTTACCGACGTGCAGCCATCAGGGAACTTTTTGAAGAGAGTGGAATTCTTCTAGCTAAAGACCGCAGCTCCGGGAAGATGCTTGCCGTCGACGAACCTACCCGAGAGGCCGGCAGACGACTCATTCATCAGAACAAGACCACTTTTGATGAGTGGCTGAAGCATCAAAGCGCTGATGCTGAGCCCGATATAGGTAAGTGCATATTCTGCGTATTGACACCCGAGAGCAGCATGCTGACTCTACAGGCCAATTAATCCCCTTTACTCGCTGGGTTACGCCAACCAATATCCCTAAGCGATACACTACTCAGATGTATCTGTATTTCTTGCCTTTACCCGTCAACGTGGATAAGAAGATCCTCGACCAACTCCCAGCAGAAGGCGAACACGAGGAGCATCAAATCCCAACGAGTGATGGTGGAATCGAGGTTACGGAGGCACAGTTTCTTCCCGCCTCGGAATGGGTTAGTCGTGCTCAAAAGGCTGAAATTATTCTATTCCCGCCGCAGTTCCTTCTTTTACATTTGGTGTCAGGATTCCTGGACAGAGAGCCTCGTGCAGATGCTTCTGTGGAAGAAATGGAGAAGCGTCGTCAAGCGCTTGTCGAGTTCGTTCATTCTGGCTCTCCTCCATGGACAGAGAAGTGCATATCCCCAAAATCTATTCTCATGACCAGTGATGGGCGATCTGTGTTGGGTCTGAATGAACCCGGACATGAGCTGAAATGGTCTTCTAAGCGAGGAGAGTCCGAGAGAGTGGTTCTTGTGCGGTTCAAAAAAGGAAGTGCACGAGAGGTGGCTGTTGGATGGAAGAAGGATGTGTTGGAGAAAGAGAGGGAAAAGAGTAATCTGTAAGATACATACATACATATATACATACATACATACATTTACCGATAATACAATCTCTATATGTACCCCGTAGGTATGTAGATATCCCGCAATCGATACTATGAACATTAGAGTTGAAATTGCCACGGCTTTCAGTGCGGCTTCCGTTAAACCCACGCCACCCCACTTCGGCCACGCCAGCCCTCGATAAAGGGTCACATGACCCACACAAATCATTTGAGGTCTTCAATTTAATGTGCGGCAGAAAAACCCTCCACCTCCAACCTCACCGTCGCCCGTCAAAACCCCAACACCAAACCCGCCAAAATGGAGAACGACAAGGGAGAGATCGTCGATCTGTACGTGCCATGGATTTTACACCCGTTCCTCCAGTCCCAATATACCCTGTACCCTGTTTCTGCGTGGCTGCATACAATCAGCAATCCCGCCTCAATCCCAAGCCAAAGAGATGGACTAGGTGTGATCAGAGATTGCGAGGATTGAAAAAAAAGTACTCAGCGCGCGTGATTGCGATCGTTGGCGAGCCATCAGAAAAACCAGGACACAGGGTATTGGAGGGGAACATATTCGCTCGCAAACCCCCAGAGAAGAACCCAGACCACTAACTTGACCTCCCTCTCAACAGCTACGTGCCCCGCAAGTGCAGCGCCACCAACCGCATCATCAAGGCCAACGACCACGCCTCTGTCCAGCTCTCCGTCGGCAAGGTTGACGAGAACGGCCGTTACACTGGCGAGAACCAGACCTACGCTCTTTGCGGCTTCATCCGTGCCCGCGGCGAGAGCGATGACTCCTTCAACCGCCTGACCCAGCGTGATGGCTACCTCAAGAACGTGTGGGCCGCCTCCAGCCAGCGCTAAATCATCCACAGCAATGTGGGGTTTTTTTCACTGGGCGGTGTTTACGGGTTGATTTGATGGTACGTTATGGTCATCTACATTACATTCTGCATGTTTCATGTTCAACAAGGCTAATTAGCTGCAGAGGAACCGTGGCTTGATGGTCCGTGTTCGGGGAGTTGGTTTCAAGACCAAAAAACGGACGCAAGGGATATAGTTATGTTCCTTAGTTCATTTTTTTCTTTTTCTCCTCTGAGAAACTCCTGTTTTCCTACCTATCTCTCGAAATGAATGGAATATCGATGACTTAATGGGTCAGGTTTTTTTCTCTACGAATCCCCGCCTGTTCTCTTTCTGTGATAAGACTCCCGCCCAACCTCATGAAGCACAAAAAAAAGCATTGTCAAAAAATCGAAACGATATCCCTTTCATATAATTCTTAGTCTCTGTCTACTGTCTTCTCTTTTCCCTTTTCCCTCTTGGCATATCAAGACCTCCTCATTCTTTGGGGACTCGAAAACCAGACTGGCTCGCTGGTCTTGGTCTTCGGTGTCTCCATCTCCATGAGCGAGGAGGTAAGAAATACTTGTTGTTGCCGAAGATTATGCTTCCGAGCTTTGCCTCCTGATGAGCCACTGCTGCAGAGATCCACGCGCTGGGGCACAGATACGGGCAGGACATCCATTGTAGACACATGCTCGATGAATATTATATGTTCAATATTATGTTTTCTTTTTCTTTCAAATGTATCTACATTGACTGACTACGCTAGAGCCTTTCTACCAAGGATTCACAACCTCTCCATCGTTGATATGTAATACGTTTCCTTCGACATAAACTCGTGATTACAAGCGAGACACAACTAAAAGCACGTTCTTTTTTTCTATGAGTATCTCCCTGTTTAATCCTTCTCGAGACGGACAGCCGGGTTGGTCTGAATGAAGTTCAGGTCGACCTTGTGACCGAGGAGTTCGCGGATGTTGCTGACGGCGTACCTAAGAGATATTAGTAAATGAAAACGAAAGGTAGCTGATGCAACGTACTTGATCATCGTGGGTCTCTCCAGACTCAATCCCCATCCGTAGACCCTCAAGTCCTTAGGTAGACCCATGGACTCCAGCATCTCTGGACGGAACATGCCACTGTTACCGATCTCAACCCACTTGCCTAGACCATCGTGGTAGCCGAAGATCTCCATACTGGGCTCCGTGTAGGGGTTGTAGGCGGGCTTGAAGCGCAGCTTGTGGATGCCCATCTTGGCGAAGAAGACCTCCATGAATCCAATCAGGCCACCAAGAGTCAGACCGAAGTCGGCAATGACACCCTCGACCTGGTGGAACTCTGCCAGATGGGTAGCGTCGACAGATTCATTTCGGAAGACACGGTCGATACTGAAGAAGCGAGCCGGCCGGGGGTTGGCGGCCAGCTTGTGCAACATGTAGGTCGAGATGGAGGTGGTGTGGGTGCGGAGCACCAGGCGAAGCGACTCATCCGCGCTCCAGGGGTAGCGGTAGCCAATGGATCCGAACTTTCCGTGCTCGTGGACTTCACGGACGTTGTCCCAGTACTTTTTGTAGTCGAGCGGCTTCTCGGACTTTAATTGGGCTGGACGGTGGGGGTCGTTGGGGGGATCCTCGCGAGGAGCATCTGCCACGGCAGGATCGGAGATGTAGAAGGTATCCTGGAGATCACGGGCGGGGTGTTGCTGGGGCACAAACAGAGCGTCGAAGTTCCAGAAGCCGGTCTCGACGAAGCGGTTCGTCGGCATCTCCTCGAAACCCATCTCGAAGAAGATGTTGCGGAACTCTTGTCGCACCTTGTTCAGTGGGTGTAGCGTACCACATGGAGTCGGGGCACCCTTAGCATTGAAGTTGTAGGGCTTGAGATGCGCCGTCTTCCACGAGCCACTGGCGATCATCTCCGGGGTGAGGTCGGTCTGCTCCTTGACGAATTCTCGGGCGTACTTGGGACCCTTGGTGAACCTGAAAGAGATCTCCTTTGCCAGACCGACCAACTTTCTCCGCTTGAGGTCAGCCAGGGCCTTCTTATCGTCCAGGTTCTTTGTTTTTTGAACCTCAAGCAGCTGCTGTTGCGTCTCGTCGACAATCGAATCTGTGGATGCCCGCAGCAAATCCTTATCCTTCTTAATCCAGCCACGCTTGAAGGCATTTCCTTGGCCAACTTTGGCATTCTCCTTGCCCACAATTCCTGGTAAGTCGGAGATCTTCAATCCGTCTAAAGCAGCAAGCACCACGGCGAAGACCTTGGCCTCGTGACTGCCATTAGCGGCAATCTCCTGACCCTCCGCAGTGAGAGTAACGATTTCCTTGTCCAAGGTCTCATATTCGACCATCTGGCGGGAATCAAGGCGGTCGAGCGCACTCTTAACGTTCAATGAGGGGGTGGAGGGGAAGGCTTCGCTGGAGAGGATGGGCGCATCGGACGCGGACAGGGCGTCCAAGATCTGGTTTGTTAAGTCGGACGCCATGGCTGCAGCCTACTCCTGCAGAGTCAATTTTTGACGGGTGTTTTGAAGGGCGTTCTTTTGATCTGACGATATTTTGTAGAATTATGACTCTGCGGGATTCCAAAAGATAATACGGCGGGGTACATTGACCACTTGTGCCGTTTGACCCCCGCCATTGATTGTTGATTGTTGACCGTTGACCAGTTGGCAGCTTGACATGCTCTCGAGAAGATAAATACACATTTACCACATACAACAGATACCAGGTCCACCATGTATCTACTGCCGGGAACGTTGGGTATATATTTTCCCCTGGATTCCATTTAATCCATACAAAATCCACACAAAATCCTACCCATTGAGACACGTTTCCCTCTTTTTACATATGAAACATATAGTCAATATGATCCAGGTACGAGTACGGAGTACTCCTACCGAATATCGAACATCTTCACGTTCACGAGGTTCCGTGTGACCAATCGACGTTATGAATACCTCGGCCAACGGGAGACGCTCAGCCGGACGGCTCAGCCACCAAAAAAGACCAAACTATGGATCTATCATCTGTGGCAGTACCCTAACGATGAGACATTCTCGTTGATTTCCTATAGGCTCAGATTAACTCCGACTGGATCTCGCTGGATCCCAGCCAATTGTTCGGCAAACTCTGTCTCGCCTATCTTTGCCTCCAGGGATATGGAGAGTACGCAGTATTGAGAAGGGAAACCACGAACCGGAGCCACCTTGTGATCGGCACTAGTCCCAGAGGCAATCACCTCCACATGAAACACATTTGATTTGTGTACGACATATTCTCTGGTGATATAGGGATCCTGAGTGTACAGATGCATACAAGCTCTTTGTGAGTAGTTTGGATATAGTATCCGGAGTACCTTCATATACTCTTCCGATGAAACTATAATAGAGCGAGTCCGTGCGCCATATCCAGTCACCTGGGCAGGACTCCGTCAAGGTGAATACCCAATTTGATCCGCTTGATGCCAGTGGATTTGTACTATTACGGCGCGAAGGCGATTTATAGATTCCCCCCAAAGATCAGAGACATCGAAAGAGAGAAAAAAACAGAAAAAAACAGCCCAAGAAAACCCAAAAGAGGCGACATATCACCGCCCCTTTCAAAATCTCTTCCCCCTCCCTCATCCCCAAATCTTAGAATTCCCGCCTTTCTCTTCTCATCCGCGAAACCTCACTTTTTTCCCCTTATATTTTGATCTCTCTCTATATATCTCGGTCTTTCCCAAGTTCCTTTTCTCTTTCTTCCCGCAGAGCCATCCCTAGTGGTGGCTTACATAACCATCTCCAGGGCTTATCCACCTATTTTCCCCCTTCCCGACCTGCCATATTATTCCCTTTCATATTTATCGTTGACTCGGGTGTCTATTTTATTCCTTGTCTTCTCTTTGGACTCTTCCCCCCTCATGTCGCCTTAATTAGACTATATCTCTGTCATCCGGTTAGGATTCAGACTTGCCAGTGAGTGATCCTTAAGCTCGCTCTCCGATACCCTAACCCCATCCCATAATTCTCAGCTCGGGTGCTGGTACTATAAGATGTGTTTTACGTTAGTTGTACTACGAGACTGACATATGTAGGCCACAATGGCTAGCGTGGACGAGACACTCGTGGCCGCGACTGCCGTGCTGCAGAATTTAGCAAGAGACGACTCTGTCCCCGGTTCCTCTTCGCCCTCATTTGATTTCCAGTTCTTCAACGGTACCAAATCGGCCAAACTTCCCGGAGAATACAGTCCCACCAAGGCAGCCTTCGAAGCAGAGCTTGAGGCCCTGGTGCGCCGCGTGCACCATCTGGAATTCCAAGCTGTCAGTCACCACAATTTCCAACAGCAGACGGACCCCATCCAGACCACCCCGTCTGCTGGAGAGGCCAGCGAGAGGAATTTCTTGTGGACATTTGGGCTCTCTCGCTTGTCGTCCGGTCAAGATTCTGACTCTCTGTCACAGCAAAAAGCGAACCCGGTCCCCGCGGCCGACGAACCGCCCTTGGGAGAAATTGACGACGAATCCGACGACGAAGATGATAACGGCACGCGTGTCGTGCGGGAGGAGGATATTAGCTTCCTCCGCAACCACGTACAAAAGCAGGCCGAGGAGATAAGCAGCCAAAAGGATATTATTGCCCAGGTTCGCGAGGAATTGCAAAAACAGGAAGAGCACACTCGCCGCGCTCTTACCAAGGTCGAAAATGAGGATGTCGTTCTGCTCGAGCGCGAGTTGCGCAAACACCAGCAGGCCAACGAGGCCTTCCAGAAAGCTTTGCGTGAAATCGGGGGAATCATCACTCAAGTCGCCAACGGTGACCTATCTATGAAGGTTCAAATCCACCCGCTGGAAATGGACCCCGAAATCGCCACCTTCAAACGAACAATTAACACGATGATGGATCAACTGCAAGTTTTCGGTAGTGAAGTGTCTCGTGTCGCACGCGAAGTCGGTACTGAAGGGATACTCGGCGGACAAGCTCAGATCACTGGCGTCCATGGTATTTGGAAAGAGCTTACGGAGAACGTCAACATTATGGCCAAGAATTTGACAGATCAAGTGCGAGAAATTGCCGCTGTGACTACCGCTGTCGCTCATGGTGATCTTAGCCAGAAGATTGAGAGCCGGGCCCAAGGTGAAATTCTGGAGTTGCAACAAACCATCAATACCATGGTAGACCAACTCCGAACGTTTGCAACAGAAGTTACTCGAGTCGCGCGTGATGTCGGTACGGAAGGTGTACTAGGAGGACAAGCACAGATCGAAGGTGTGCAGGGAATGTGGAACGAACTCACGGTTAATGTTAACGCCATGGCCAACAATCTCACCACGCAAGTGCGAGATATTGCTACTGTCACAAAGGCTGTTGCCAAGGGTGATCTCACGCAGAAGGTCCAGGCCAACTGTAAGGGAGAAATAGCAGAACTGAAGAACATCATCAATTCCATGGTGGACCAACTACGGCAATTCGCACAGGAAGTCACCAAGATTGCCAAGGAAGTCGGTACCGATGGTGTTCTTGGAGGCCAAGCTACTGTGAATGATGTCGAAGGAACGTGGAAGGATTTGACAGAGAATGTCAACCGCATGGCCAACAATCTGACAACGCAGGTGCGTGAGATTGCGGACGTCACTACCGCAGTCGCCAAGGGTGACCTCACCAAAAAGGTTACTGCCAACGTACAAGGAGAAATCCTCGACCTCAAGAGTACAATTAATGGCATGGTGGATCGTCTTAACACCTTTGCTTTCGAAGTGAGTAAAGTGGCTCGTGAGGTTGGCACAGATGGTACCCTCGGTGGGCAGGCTAAGGTGGACAACGTGGAAGGCAAATGGAAGGACCTGACAGACAATGTCAACACCATGGCCCAAAATTTGACGTCTCAGGTCCGAAGTATATCCGATGTCACGCAAGCTATTGCCAAGGGAGACTTGAGCAAAAAGATTGAAGTACATGCTCAGGGAGAAATTCTTACGCTCAAGGTCACTATCAACCATATGGTGGGTCGACTGGCCAAATTCGCCACTGAGCTGAAGAAGGTCGCCCGAGATGTCGGCGTTGATGGCAAGATGGGTGGACAAGCCAACGTGGAGGGTATTGCGGGTACTTGGAAAGAAATTACCGAGGACGTGAATACCATGGCCGAGAACTTGACATCGCAAGTCCGCGCTTTCGGTGAAATTACCGATGCCGCCACTGACGGTGACTTTACCAAGTTGATCACGGTCAATGCGTCTGGTGAAATGGACGAACTGAAGCGAAAGATCAATAAGATGGTTTCCAACCTACGAGACAGTATCCAGCGAAACACTGCCGCTAGGGAGGCTGCCGAACTCGCCAATCGCACCAAATCAGAATTCTTGGCGAACATGTCGCACGAGATCAGAACGCCGATGAACGGTATCATTGGAATGACCCAATTGACCTTGGATACGGATGATCTCAAGCCTTATACCCGGGAAATGTTGAATGTCGTTCACAACTTGGCGAACAGTCTGTTGACTATCATTGATGACATTCTGGATATCTCTAAGATCGAAGCCAACCGGATGGTCATTGAGAGCATTCCATTCACTGTCAGAGGTACTGTCTTTAATGCTCTCAAGACATTGGCTGTCAAGGCCAACGAGAAGTTCTTGAGTTTGACCTACCAAGTTGACAACACCGTTCCTGATTATGTAATTGGCGATCCATTCCGTCTCCGCCAGATCATTCTCAATCTTGTTGGCAATGCTATCAAGTTTACCGAGCATGGTGAGGTTAAGCTCACTATCCGAAAGTCGGACAGAGAGCAATGCACGACCGACGAGTACGCCTTTGAATTTTCAGTAGCTGATACTGGTATTGGAATCGAAGAGGATAAGCTTGATCTCATTTTCGACACTTTCCAACAAGCCGATGGCTCAACCACCCGCAGATTTGGTGGCACTGGGTTGGGATTGTCGATTTCAAAGCGTCTTGTGAATTTGATGGGTGGTGACGTCTGGGTCACTTCTGAATATGGACATGGAAGTACTTTCCACTTCACCTGTGTGGTGAAACTCGCAGACCAGTCTTTGAGCGTTATCGCCAATCAGCTCTTGCCGTACAAGAACCACCGGGTGTTGTTCATCGACAAGGGTCAGAACGGTGCTCAAGCTACCAACGTCATGAAGATGTTGAAGAAGATTGACCTGGAGCCGTTGGTTGTACGGAACGAGGAACATGTTCCCCCGCCCGAGATCCAAGATCCTTCTGGCAAGGAATCAGGCCATGCCTACGATGTTATTATCGTTGACTCGGTAGACACGGCCCGGGTCTTGCGAACCTTTGACGAGTTCAAGTACATTCCGATTGTTTTGGTCTGTCCTTTGGTGTGCGTCAGCTTGAAGTCGGCTTTGGACCTTGGTATCAGCTCATATATGACTACCCCGTGTCAGCCGATTGATCTTGGCAACGGTATGCTACCAGCCTTGGAAGGCCGGTCGACGCCGATCACCACAGACAACTCACGTTCATTCGATATTCTTCTAGCGGAGGATAACGACGTGAACCAGCAACTTGCAATGAAGATTCTTCAGAAGCATAACCACAACGTGTTTGTTGTTGGCAATGGCTTGGAAGCTGTCAATGCTGTCAAGAAACGTCGTTATGATGTTATTTTGATGGATGTTCAGATGCCAGTCATGGGTGGCTTTGAAGCCACTGGCAAGATCCGTGAATATGAACGCGAGAGTGGACTTCAAAGAACCCCAATCATCGCGCTCACTGCCCACGCCATGTTGGGTGACCGGGAGAAGTGTATCCAGGCCCAGATGGACGAATATTTGTCCAAACCCCTCAAACAAAACCAGATGATGCAAACTATCCTCAAATGTGCTACCCTTGGCGGGTCACTATTGGAGAAGAGCAAAGAGTCTAGGATATCGAGCAGTGGGGAAATGCACCCTAATTACTCAATGAATGAGAACCAACAACCGCCGCCGCCACCACCACAACAACGGTCAAAGCAGCAGCCCTTACCGTCCCCTCGCCCGGTTATAGAATCCCGGTCTATCACAACCTCTGGTCCCATTACCCGAGGGAGTGTGGTCAGTCCGTCGGAAGAGAAGGAAGAGGTCATCGACGAGCGGGTACGTTAGCTGTATGTTCAGAGCCACCCGCAAAGCAGCAAGGCTAATTATTTCCAGGCATTGCTTCGATCCAACAGTACATGAGTTTAGCATATTTATTTCTATGCAAATGATTTTCGATGAGACTATACCCTGTCTATATGAGTCTCATCTACTTTTGTCTACTTCATACCCACCCGCGTCTTTCTCCCGTCTATTATCATTCTCCATCATCAACCTCCACCATTGCATTCGCTTTTTTTCTTCTGAGTTTCATTTATCCTCCTCTTGGAGGTGGTGTTTGGCGCAGTCTACTACAGGACCTGGTTTGATCTACATATATGGAAGGAAGGATGATCGAATAGGGGAGTTTTCGCTTACCAGAGAAGCGCTTTGTTCTTTTTACCTCTGGTTGCTTCACATTTTTCTCTCTCTAGCCTCTCGCTTTCCCCATCAGCATCTTCTTGCCGGCCATTCTTGTATTGTATTTAGTATTTTACTGATCATATCAAGCGCGGCACAGGAACACCGCTCAATTTCTTCAACGTCTCTTCTTTCTATCATTTATCTCCCATTTAACCAGCACATCATCTAGCTTCTAGCTACATATCCCTCAATCTATTTCTTTGGACTACCTATCTTTAACCCTTCCAACGCTGCTTCGCCTGCTCTACATTCGTGATGTATAACTACCTGACGACCTCAGTTCTTCTTCAATATCCTACAGTTTGGCTATTCGATCAGTCCTGACGTTGGACTGACTTGACATAGTCCCCCATTCACCTCCCCCTTCTTCATCTCCCTCTCTTACTGTTTTCATCTTCTTTCATCCTTATCAGACAGAACGAACATGTTCCTCTTTCCTCATATCATGTTTTATGGGAGTCTCAAACAACCTGTTGGTTGACTGCCTGGTTCTTTGCTGCCAACAATCTTCCTCCTGCTACTCCTGCTAGATATATATTCCTATCTCTTTGGAAGTTTGTGAGACAATAACGATCCTTCCTGCCATCGCTACAACCATGGCTACCATGGCTACCCGATTTTAGAGCCTTGTAGCATCACAATCTGGCTGATTATCTCTTCCACCTACGTGTGCTCCTATTTACTGATCGTTTTACCTTAGCTGGTCTACCGAGTCTCTGCATATCTCGATATTGGGATCTTCGCCTCTCCCTATGTACTTAGGGTACAAGATCTTGTTGTCTTGGATGAGTCGCCTGTTCTCCAACTTGCAGAGATTGCGGAGAACGACCCTGATCTGCTTAAGTCCCCAGAGTCCAGTCGTATATAGATACAACAGCCAAGTATTGATTTTATGTTGAATCGTTACTTAAAATACTATAAAGGGTTGAGCTTGAGGCTACGTTATGTCTATAGCAGAGGGAGGTGGGTTGACTAAGAGAACGTTGTTGATAGAGGGTGTAGACGAGGTTACAATGGGACTTGCCTAAATGGGATATTTGTTGGGGTCGTTCTCCAAAGATCTCATTATGGTCGTTTGACCACTCTGGCCACTGTACTGACTAGCAAACTAGCAACCTATGTAACATCTTGGGTCATTGTAAACACATTTTAATTAGCCTCTCAAGCAGTAAGAGGCTAACAGCCCACTGGATATGAGATATGATGAAAAACATTGATTGCTTTTAAAACACCAAAGCATGCCCAACTCCGAAAATCTGCGTGTTGCAAGAACCGTGTCGTATCTGAGAAAGCACAAAACAAAAGAAAATATAGATGCCCAAGATAAAATTTAGTCGATATCCATCTGCTCCTCCACTCCACCATCCACCAAAAGCTTGCTCTTCTGCTTCTGGCGAACTCTCTCCTCGCCGTGAACTCTGTTGGAAACCTTGCTCTGCTCGGCCACCATGGGGAGACCCTCCTCGCGCTCCCGGAGTTCCTTCCGGATGAGGTGCTCGCCCTCGTTGACGACCTTGCGGTCCGCCTCGCGCTGGCGCTCGCGGGAGATTTTTCCGGCCAGGCGGCGTTTCGTGAATACACGCTCGCGGCGGGCTCTGATCTCCTCGACTCTCTCCATGGCAGTGATGGTAGCAGCCATGAGGTTGCGGTCGTACTTGACGGGGACGTTTCTCTTCTTGGCGAACTGGGACAGGACAAGCGACGAATCCACGATCATCTCCTTTCCGCGGGAGGCACGGTGAGTCTTGGTCCACTTAAGCTTGCGGGGCTGACGCTTCATCTTGAAGTTCTTGTGGCACTTGGACCGACAGAAACGAAATTGTCGGGCATCGTTGCGGACGAATGTGATTCCCTTACTCGGGAAAGCCGGGCGGGAACAGAAGTGACAAGTTTCAACACTGCAGATGAAAATAATATTAGCAATCCGTAGAACGGGTACAGACAAAAATTAACGGCAAAACTTACCGCATGGTTGTAGAGTGGTGTTGGTTATGTCTTCGTTGAGTCGCAAGAAACTTTTTCTGTAGCTTCGGGCCTGAATGGTGGAGCAGACCACGCTAAGCCCTTTTGGGGGCACCCGCGCTGACTTTTCTATCCCGGCGCCTCTTCGCTCATTCCCCGGTCCAACCGACTTGATCTCGTTTTCGCGACCTCTCTATCTCGATCTACAAAATGGCCTCTATTCTTGCTGTTGGATTTGGCATTGCCACAACCGCCTTTCTGGTGAGTTAAAAAGTGATTTGCTAGCAGCACAGGACTAACTCATTGTCTACAGGGCCGCGCCGGTCTGGTCGCTTACCGCCGCTCCAGAGGAGGATTGAACGCTGCCGGAAAGGCATTCTATAAGGGGTTCGTGGACATTTCGCCAGGTTGTGGTCATATGGAATATTGACTAACGTATTACAGAGGATTCGAACCGCGCATGAACCGTCGGGAAGCGTCTCTGATTCTACAACTTGCGTAAGTGCTAGTGACAAACCTTTGATGTGCCAGAACTGACAGTATCTCTCAGTGAACGAACTTTGACCAAAGACAAGATCCGCAAGAACCACCGCCAGCTCATGTTGCTCAACCACCCCGATCGCGGCGGTAGTCCATACTTGGCCACCAAAATTAACGAGGCGAAGGAATTCCTCGACAAACATGTTTGAGACCTTGCCAGTGCGACTTTGACTTCTCCCTTCTCCAGCAAGGACCCTTGGGCCACGATGGGAAAGCGAATTTAGGTCTCGACATTGACAAACTGGTCATTGTATTTTGGGCATATAGCGTGGCGTTGGTTTGGCATTTACAAGATCGGAGGAACAGGACTGCTCTTTACGAACCTTGTTGTATTATATGTACTGTTTTCACATATCCCTACGAGATCGCCGCTCTTCCTTGAATGTACTTTTATTACTACCTATCCGACATATCCAGCATAGAACCGGCAATCCGCGGCATCATATCAGATCATAGCTCTAAATTGTCGCTCTTGGTGAGTTTTAGTCATCCAGAACCAAGCCCTGGAGTAGTTAACTAACTACAGAGTCGGTAGGTAACCATAAGGTCAACTACTGCCTAGGTGGACGCTAAGAAACACGTATGTTGTAGGGCTGCTCTCCGGTTACAAGGCCCGGATACGGAATCCGTCCTACCCCATATAGAACGCCACACACCCTCCCAAGAATAATTACGATACACAAATAGCAAAAAGGCCTTGATCGGCGCAACCAGAGAGTGGATTACCAGAGACTGAACGGAAGCCCAAGCCCCGGATCGGACGAAATCGACCGTCTGCTCGGCGGTCGGGTTTCGGGGTTCCGTCATGCCACAAAATAATCTTCGAGGCAGCAACTTGTATAGCGTAACTCGGTAGAGCATTTTGTGCTCTTACTGACACAGTTGGAGTCATATCGATTCACACAGATCCTTGTTCTCACGTGTGGTTGAGTCATTTCTTACCTAAAGCCCCGAACTTTCCAAGGTTGGGGTAATTGTGCCAGTGATTTCATTGTCTACTCCCTCGAAAAAAAGATCCCATCCTTGCATGCGTCATTCACTTCAATAATCTATAGCGCACCCTCTCCTCTCTCAGGGGCGAAACAAAAAAGCTTTGCGCCGAGAGACAGCACCCCGCAGTATCACCCGTTACTTATCACCGCTATTACTTCTACTCCGCGGAGTTTCCGTGGCCCCTCAAAACACAAAATGGATGGCCTGGGGGACGGCGACGGCATGGGCTTCGACCAGCCTAATATGATGAACCAGACACCACAGCTATTCAGCTACGATCATTCTCAGATGCAGGCGGGATCTATGTACGATGATTCGTCATTAGGCGCGGGGGACGAGACCAACGATGCGAAGAGACGGAGGATCGCGAGAGTGAGGATCATTACCCGTTACGGATATCGAGAACACCCCTAATGAGCAAACAGGCGTGCGATATGTGTCGGAAGAAGAAAATTAAATGCGATGGAAAAATGCCAAAATGCTCCCACTGCATTAACTACAAAACGGAATGCATCTTCACACAAGTGGAGAAGAAGCGGAATCCTCCTAAAGGGTATGTATACTTGTATACTTCATTGCATATGGGGTTCTATATCTGACTTGGGGATTTCTTGCATAGAGCGAAATACATCGAAGGTCTTGAAAACCGACTGGGTCGGATGGAGTCGTTGTTGCGTTTGTCGGGTCTTCTGTCAGAAGACGATGGCGGCAAGACAGATCTCGGAACATTGGAGAAACGGCTAGCGGATCGAACGAATGCGTTGAACGCAACGAAAAGCTCCAGCATGTTCATGGCTCAAGCAGCTGCAGCCCAACAAGCCCCAAGCTCCCACCAAACCACCCCTCGTATGGAATCCAACTCCAGCCCTCAGACAGCCGCTACATCACCAGAGTCGCAAAAGTCGGAGACCGAAGTTGAGGCACTGTCGGATATGATGTGTTCTTTGGTGACGAACAACTGCGGGGAAACTCGGTATATTGGTAGGCTTTTTCGTGCAACTGTTCTGGGCTAGTTTGCTAACATTCTCACAGGATCGTCATCTGGATTCTCCATATTCTCTCCCAAGGGTATTCAATGGGTCAATGAGAAAACCGGCGATACATCCTTCCAAGACATGATTTCGTCAGCATATGTCGATGACAATAAATGGATGTACTGGAAGCCCGAGATCTTCAGCGATATTTTCGCAAGGCGTGTGTTCAAACCTCTCCCGCCAAAGGAAGAAGCTCTTTCTCTGTTCAAGGACTTCTTTGAAAACTTCAATTGCATGTTCCCACTGTTCCACGAAGCGACATTCATGCACTTGGTGGAGCGGCAATACTCCCGCGACCCCTACGAGGGCTCGGGCTGGTGGGCAAGTATAAATGTTGTCCTGGCGATTTCTCATAGGCTGCGGATTATGAGTAATTTGGTGCCACACGAAGAGGATAAAAGAGCTTGGCTTTATTTGAAGAACGCCATGGGAGTTTTGACCGAGCTCACAATGCGCAACACCGATCTTTTGAGTGTACAAGCGCTATTGGGCATGGTAAAGTGTCCTACTCGTATTGGTGGCTTTGTCTAACATACTCCTCTAGTCACTCTTTCTTCAAGGAACCCCTAACCCACAGCCTGCTTTCTTTCTAGTCGCTGCGGCGATTCGACTTTCCCACAGCATTGGTCTACACAAACGCGGCTCTGGCTTTGGCCTCAACGTAGTTGAAGTTGAGCAGCGGAAGAGAGTCTTCTGGATCGCCTATCTTCTTGACAAAGAGTATGAGCTGCTTTCCGTCCCCCGAATACCTTTATCTCCAATACTGACCAATTCCTTAGCATTTGTCTACGCTCTGGTCGACCTCCAGTACAAGATGACGATGACATGAATGTCGAGCTACCGAGCGAAGATCCGCCAGACAATGTTGGAAATGTGCCACTATCTGATGGTAGAAGCAAGTTCAACCTATTCCGGTCATTGTGTGAATTTGCCACAATTGAAAGCAGAGTATACAAGCGACTTTATTCTGCCAAAGCATCGAAACAATCAGACGGCGAATTGCTCAATACAATCGGTGAACTTGACAAAGAGCTGGAAGACTGGAAAGACAGCATTCCTATCGACTTCCGCCCCGAATACGACATTCAAGCCACCCACACCCCCCTCATCATCCACATGGTTGTTCTACATTTTGCCTACTACAATTGCCTGACCACCATTCATCGGATGTCGGTTCATCACGGGTATTGGACAAGCCGTCTGTCCAACTATGCCATACAAGGCTTAAATGCACGGCCCTTGAACCCTAGGGTATTCTTGTCGGCAGTTTTGTGTGTCACTGCTGCCAGAGCATCGATTAATCTAATCAAGTATATCCCACAAGGAGACTTTGCTTGTGTTTGGTACGTTTCAGAGAATTGTGAAAAAGAATAGTTGCTAACTCGATACCAGGCTGATTCTCTACTACCCGGTGTCTGCCCTCGTAACTCTTTTCGCCAACATCCTCCAGAATCCCACCGATGCTCGTGCTCGATCCGATGTTAAATTAATGAGCGTGGTAGTCAGCTTCCTTTCCACCCTGGTGTCCGACGAATCAAACGGCAGCATCAAGCGTATGCTAGGCCTTTGCGGTGAATTCGAGAGAATTGCCAAGGTGGTCTTGGATAAAACCGAAAAAGAGTCTCATTCGCGAAAGAAACGCAAGAATGCAGAAGACTCTGCAGGCGCAGCCGAAGAACAGTCGACAAACTCACCCTCGGCCAAACGAACACAACAACCACCTACCTCTACATCCTTCTCTCCCTCCGTGTTTACCAACCCTACGGCTGCCGCCCCCTCGCCCGGCACAGGAGGGCCATTCCCGGGGACTGCAATGCCCCCAACAAGTAGTCTCCCCACTGACCTCCTAAGCAATGTTCATCCCATGCCTGGCATTGGACAGGAGTTCTCAGACATGCTGAGTCCTGATCAAATGCCCAATATTGGATTCTCCGACCAACACCCATTCAGTGCCAGCCCCGGCATGGCACCATTCCAGCAGCCATTTGTCCCACAAGATCTCTGGCAAATGCCAATGACAATCGAGTGGGATTGGGCGGATATGTCCACCAACTTTCCTGCTTTTGAAGGAGCTGGTCCCGGTGGGCCACTGCCTGGGCAGTGATGATGACTGTATGATTGACTAAAGTCACCTTCATCTATCTCTTATGTAGCTCATGATGGTGGTATTATTGTTTCCGGTGCTATCTCTCCACACTAAAGCATCTCCACACCTCTTGTATAATGAAGCGCTCCTCTTCTTATTTCGAAACCATCCCCGAGGTCTCTTATGGAGTGACCAGGATAATTATGGGTTTCCATTACGCAGCAAATGGCGCAAGGGTTGGCCTTATTTATAGGACTATGTACAGACAGGTCTCCAATCCAAATCAACCTTAGACAATCTAATTCAATAACGGAATTCATAAACGACGGCGTTAAAGTACAACATAATCACGGCTTTAAGCTAGTTAATTCCTCCGTGCTTCCGATGACTCAGCCGGATCGGCGAAATTTTAGAACCGACTGGAAGGAACCACACGGCGTCACCTCGGACCTGGATGCCTTAGAGCTTCTCAACTCTCAGCTCAATTCCTTCTCTCACGCCTAATCTTGATGGATTGTTGATAACATCCATTACCTTTCAACTCGATTGACCACCTTTTACCCCCGCCCTCGCAGCCCTCGGGGCTCCCATTCCTCGACCATGGCTACTCTGCTCCGACGGCCAGGCAATCTCGCTCGCTACTTGAGGAAAGCCGCGGATTCAACCGGTCGCACGGGGCTGGCTTCTATGCGTGTGCGCCCGTCAAGACCTTCACCTCTGGGTTTATCAAGCCGCGCTAGAACCTACGCCACGCAAGGTCCCACACCACCCAACGACAACGGCCGGGACAATACACCAGATGGCCGCAACAATGACCACCAAACAAAAAACCCGAGGTCACTTCTGACCGACGCTGAATTGAAAATGGTGGATGACTGGCTTGAAGATATGGATGTGGACCGACGTACCAATATTCGAAACTACATCATGAAAAATGGACTGTTACCGGAAGTCAGGGCGTATATCGATCCGAATCAAGAACCGACATTAATGGATCGTATCAAGATGTCGCGATTCTTGTGGCAAGTCTCAACTT